CCCCCCCCCCCCCCCCGCCCGGCGCGGCCTCCCGCCGCAGCGCCCTCTCCGCCTGGGCCCGGGATGGCGCTCGGGCCCCGCGGCCCCGTCCGACCTGCTGCAGGGCCCTGGGCAGTCCCTGCCGCCCCCCAGCCGCCCCGGTCCCTTCTGCACGATGACGGGGCGGCAGATGCGCGCCCGAGGGCTCCTTCTGTTCTTTTGCAATCAAACCATTAGTTGGGCGGCCCCTGTGTGCCGGGCACTGTGCCAAGCGCCGAGATTCGCGTGGTAGACTTCGTGATCTGCTTCTGGCCATCTGTAATTCCAGGGCCCCGCTTCACCCGTCTCTGAGGACTGACTGGACAGGCATTTGGGAAGGCAGGCAGGGGTGGGGGTGGGGACACAATCGGCTTTGAAAGCCAGGGGCCTGTTAACCACTGTCTTGAAGTTCCAAGTGCCAGTGGGTGTGTGTGACACATCCTCTGGCCTCCCTCACCCAGCTCTGTGATTTGAATCCAGACCCAGGCTTTCCTAGGTGTCACCTAATGTAGGGTGGATGCCACAGGACCCCAGTGTTTTTCAGGAATTCTCAGTCTATTTGTTTTCTATTGGTATGTAACAAATTACCACAAATTTAGCGTCTTAGGACAACACAGGTTCCAGGTCAGGAGCCCCCAGGGCAGCTTAGATTAGTCCTTTGCTTGGAGTCTCAGAAGGCTACAATCCAGGTGTCAGCAAGGCTACATTCTTACCCGGTGACCCAAATTGGGAAGAATCCACTTGCAAGCCCATTCAGGTTTTGTTGGCGGAATTTATTTCCTTGCGACTGTATGAGAGAGGGCCTGTGATTTTTGCTGGCTGTCAGCTAGAGGCCTCCCTCAGGTTCCAGAGGCCATCTGCTGTTCCTAGAGGTTACCACAGTTCCTTGCTGTGCCGCCTTCTCCAGCATGGCCGCTTGCTTCATCAAGCCCACAAAGGAGAGTCTCTAGCTCCAGTCTGCTGAGAGTTTTCATATAACTTATTATATATGTAACAGGAGGGACATCTCATCACTGTTGTCGTATTCTATAGGTTAGAAGCAAGTCACAGGTCTCAGTGGAATTGGAGAGGATCAGACAAAGGTGTGAATACCAGGAGGCAGGAACCACTGGGGTCACTTTAGGGTCTGTCCACCACACTGGGGTTACTGGAAAACTGAAGGAAAAGTATAGGAAAAGAGAGAGCTGGAGACTCGGATAGGAGAGAGTAAGAAAAGAAGTCAAAATACATGATGCAGAGGGGTAGAAAGGCAACAACAGTGACCTCAAGGACCACTAATTGTTACACATGCCAAAGGCTGCCCAGCCATACTCCTTCGTGCCAAAGATTCTGGATTTGATGAGCCTGCCCTTGGAGTGAAGCACGTTGTGGGTTTCTTTCCCTCTTGCTCCTTGGCTGTGGACATACTGGTCCCAGTACAGATTCCTGCTGTCCCACCTCAGCTGGCTCTTCTTGCAACCCTACACCTTTTCTTTCTTCTTGTTTTACAGAAATCAAAACTATCCTGCATCATTTTCAGCTTCCTTCCTCTCTTCCTCATAATTTCTCTGTTTGCATCTGTCCTTTCCTCTCATCTTCAAGATGTGGGCCTCCTGCCCATGGCCAACCCTCCACTCATGTCCTGTCTCTCTTCCCGTTCATCAAGACTGCAAACACATGCTCGGTTCTCCTCTATCAATTAAAAAAGCAAAGCTAGACTAAAAAGTCAACACCAGAAACAGCTTTCCATATTTGGCTACCTCCTCTCTCTAGCTTCAGGTTAATCTTTTTCTCTCTCCGTAGAGTCATACTAAAGAGTAGCTAGCTCTTCCTTGTCACCTATTCATTTCTTAACTTTCTACAGTTGGCCTCTGTCTACATCACTCCCCTAAAACGTCTATCTTAAATGTCACTAGTGATCCATTTAGTGTGGCATAAACTACTCATTCTCACCAGTTCCCACAGTTAGCAGCCTCTCTTACAGATAGGTGTGGTCAAGTGACTTAATTCTGGCTAATGGAATGTGAGTGGAAGTGACAACCTGGCCCATGAAACTCCCAGGTGCTGATGTTTGCTCTCCTTGCCATCTGCTAGCAGAATGGAGGAGACTCTGAGAACCTAGAAGAAAGTCAAACCAGCAGCCCCCATTCCAAGTTTCAGGGTCCCACTCATTCTCAATCACAGGAAAGACTTAGTAAGACTGAATTCAACTGATGTCACTCTGCAATATACACACTATTTTTGCTTTATTTGCAGCAATAAGTCTGGTAGCTACAAGAAATAAGAGATTCTTTATGGCTGTCATGGAAGCTCTATGACTCTATGACCATGACTTGAGCTGAGAGCTTGTCATTTTCTTTCTGCAAGGACTCTGCTGCAGTCAGAAGAATTCCTCCCATACCAGGTCCCTGTAGTCCTCATCACTGCAGTCAACTGCAACAAGCACTTGGGCCCCCAACGCAGTGCTCTACTTGGCACTTCATCACAAATAACCACAGGTGATAATTTGATTAATCATGATGCCACAGCATGCCATGGATTAGTAGCATCACTTTTCTCACTGGCAAGGAGCTTAGCACATCCAAACCCAATGACACAACCAAACCCATTCCCTAATCCCATTTTTTGAGGTCTATTTCCCAAGGCCTCTCCTAGTACCAATTTCAGAATCAGTCAGGGCCCAGTCAATGAGAGAGAAAACACACCAGTCATTGGACAGAGAGAATTTAATATAAAGAATGGTTAAAATGGTTAATTAGGTATAAAGTTGTTAACTAGATAACTGAAAGGGTAAGCAGAAAACTCTGAGATATCATGAAGACAGCAACAGCAGGAAGCATCTATAACTCCTAGGGCTAAGAGAACAAAGGGAAGAGCTTGTTATTACTAAAACTTAGAAACCTAGCAGAGGGGCCCTACAGAGCTGCAGCTCCGACCTCCAAGACCAGTTCTGGCGTCAGTGTCTCTGCACTTGGAGGAGGGACCAAGGCCTCTGAGGAAGGGGTGTTACCGCACTGGTGCTGGTGTCTTTGATTGGGACACCATGAAGCTAGTTCTGCAATTGTTAGCAAAAACTGCAAAGTGGATTCAGCTGCTGCTACAGGCAGGAACTGCTGCTGAGGGAGTGAAGGAGCATTGCTAGGGTGACCTCACGGGAACAGGAAGCAAACAGAAGAAAGGAGCCTTGTCTTCCTCCTCTGGCCTCACTATCTCCCTCTAGTGGCCCTTATTGGCAGAGCTAAACCTAGAGCCAGCTGACGAAGCAAAAGTGCGATTTGCAAAGCTCCAGGATCTTCCAGTGCAAAATAGAAGGGTGGGTTAGAGCTAAGACAATAACTTAATAACTAGTACAGGTGCCTTTATAAAAAGTATTAGAGGAAAGAGGTGAACTTAGATGAGAATTAGCTCGTGTTCAAGCAGCGATGGAAGGGAAATAGAGAAAGCCCAGAGATCATGGGCCTTTCACGGTTGGAAAAGCTGACTACTTCTGGACAGCAAATAGTATGAGATTGGAAAAGGTCTTGGACAAAGATGTGCAAGATGTGATCACCTCTAAGGCAAATATCAAGTGAAGAGTGTGGCCTTCCCACTTATTTCACACAACTGCAATACAACCATTATGTTGAGAGTGAGGCAAGAGGGTGATGAAGCAAATAAATATTTCAGCTTGAGAATTCTATCTAGAAAAGAACTTGAGTGTGGTTAGTGTCATATAGATCTGACTAGAAGCAAATAGAGCTGAAATCTATTGTGTTAATTTTATGTGTCAATTTGGCTAGGCCATGGTATGCAGATACTTGATCAAATATTATTCTAGATGTTTCTGTGAAGGTATTTTTTAGATGAGATTAACATTTAAATCAGCTAACTTTGAGTAACAGAGATTATCCTTCGTAAAGTGGGTGGGCCTCATCCAATCAGTTGAAGGCCTTAAAAGAAAAAAGATTGACTTCCCCTGAGAAAGAGTGAATTCTGTCAACAGACTGCCTTCAGACTCCAACTGAAATATCTGTTCTTCCATGGGTCTCCAGCTGCTGTCCCACCTTGTAGATTTTGGACTTCCCAGTCTCTAAAATCATATGAGCCAATTCCTTAAAATCAATCAATCTCTCATATATACACACAGACACACAGACACACACACACACACACACACTCACACACACACATATACATCCTATTGGTCATGTTTCTCTGGAAAACTCTGACTTATACATCAAAAATGTTTTGAGGTAATTGTACTGCCAAAGAAACTATGAGCTCAAACTAAAAAAGCCTCTGACTGCCTAAAATTTATATGAAATCTTAAGGGACCTTGAATAGCCAAAATAATTTTGAATAAGATGAATAAAGTTGGAGATCTCACACTTCCTGATTTCAAAACTTACTACAAAGCTACACTGATCAAAACAATGTGGTGTTGGCATAAAGAGAGACATATCGACCAATGGAATAGAATAAAGAGCTGAGAAATAAACCCTCTCATATATGGTCAAATGGTTTCGACAAGGGCTCCAAAACCAGTCAATGGGGAAAGGACAGTCTTTTCAACAAATGGTACTGGGAAAACCGAATATTCACATATGTAAGAATGAAGTTAGACCTTGATCTTATACCACATACAAAACTTAACCCAAAATGGATAAAATATCTAAACATAATAGTTAAAATTATAAAACTCTTTTAGAAGAAAACATAGGGCAAAAGCTTCATGACATTGGATTCAGCAATGATTTCCTGAATAAGACACCAAAAGCACAGGCAACAAGAAAAAATAGATAAATTGGACTTCATCCAAATTAAATGCTTTTATTCATCAAAGGACACTATCAACAGAGTGAAAAAGCAACCCACAGAATGGGAGAAAATATTTGTAAATCATAAGTCTGATTAATATCCAAAATATATAAAGAACACCAACAACTCAACAACAAAAAAAGAAACAACCTGATTTAAAAATGGGCAAAGGACCTGAATAGACATTTCTCCAAAGATATACAAGTGGCCAATAGGCACATGAAAAGATGCTCAACATTACTAATCATTAGGAAAATGCAAATTAAAACTACAATGAGATACCACTGTACACCCACTAGGATGGCTATTATTAAAATAACCCCCAAAACAGAAAATAACAAGTGTTGGTAAGGATGTGGAGAATTTGAACCCTTATGTATTGCTAGTGGGAATGTAAAACGGTATAACTACTGTGGAAAAAGTATGGAAGTTCCTCAAAAAATTTAACATAGAATTATCATATAATCCAGCAATATATACTTTGGATATATACCCAAAAGAACTAAAAGCAGGAACTTGAACAGATATTTGTACACCAATGTTCATAGCAGCATTATTCACAATAGCAAAAGGGGGGAGCAACCCAAGAGTCCATTGACAGATGAATGGATAAACAAAATGTGGTGCACACATACAATGAAACATTATTCAGCCTTAAAAAGGAAGGAAATTTTGACACATGCTATAGTACGGATGAACCTTGAAGACATTATGCTAAGTGAAATAAGCCAGTCATAAAAAGACAAATATTGTGTGATGCTACTTATATGAGGTACCTAGAGTAATCAGATTCATAGAGACAGAAAGGAGAGTGATGGTTGCCAGGGGCTGAGGAGGGGGAATGGGGAGTTACTGTTGAATGGCTATAGAGTTTCAGTTTGGGAAGATGAAAAAGTCCTGGAGATAGGGGCCAGCCCCATGGTGTAGTGGTTGGGTTCACCCATTTTGCTTCAGCGGCCCAGAGTTCGGGGGTTTGGATCCCAGGCACAGACCTACACACCACTCATCAAACCATGCTGTGGAGGTGTCCCACATACAGAATAGAGGTGGCACAGATGTTAGCTCAGGGCCAATCTTCCTCACTAAAAAAAAAAAAAAGTTCTGGAGATGGATAGTGGTGATTGTCACACAACAATGTGAAGGTACCTAACTCACTGAACTTTACACTTGAAAATGGTTAAAATGGTAAATTTTATACTACATATATTTTACCACACACACACAAGCCTTTGGCTGGCCAAGGTTTAAAATAACTCTTAGGCCCCTCTGCTTGCACTAGCAGGAAGTGGGCTGTGAAAGCTGCACATTCTCCAAGGTAGTCATACTCCCTAAAGCCCATCTCAGATACAGCCTTGAAGGATAACCAACAAGCCAGAGGGCACAGCCAGGAGCCATGAAGAACAATAGACAAAGGGGTCCCTCCTAGAAGAAATCAGGGTCTAATCAAGGAATGCCCCCAGCCCCAGGGAAGAGGGCTTTGACATGTCTGACTGGTGGGGATTCAGAACTGCTTTGGTGGGGCCTGCCGGGTGGTGTGTGGTTAAGTTCACACGGGCTGCTTCAGCCTGGGGTTTGCAGGTTTGCATACTGGGTGCGGACCTACACACTGCTCATCAAGCCATGCTGTGGTGGCGTCCCACATACAAAACAGAGGAAGATTGGCACGGATGTCAGCTCAGGGACAATCTTCCTTAAGCAATAGAACTGCTTTGGACCAGTGACTGTTGCACATCTTCCATTCTTTCCTTTTCTCAACAGGAGTTAGTATTGAGGTTACCCACCTCTTACTCTGCCATTTGTGTTTGTGGGGTACAGATAACTTGTTCTTTTAGTTCATAACTCACCATAAGGAATGCTATCTGCAGCTGATTGAGAGATGTGGAGCTGAATTTAGTGACTGGATGGGATTTGGGGGTATCTCCCTTGGGAAGGGGTGGGTGTGCTCTGTGAGCAGACAGACAGACTGAGGCAGACTGCAACACACAAATATTTGTGTTGTCTTCTTTCTAAACCCACTGCCAGACTTCACTTCCCAGTAGGGTTGCCAGACTTAGCAAATAAAAACACAGGATGCCCAGTTAAATTTGAATTTCAGATAAACAACGAAGAATTTCATAGTATAAATGTGTCCCATGCAATATTTGGAACATAATTATACTGAAAAAATATTTGTTGTTTACATGAAATGCAAATTTAACTGAGCATCCTGTATTTTATCTGGCAACCCTACTTCCCAATCTCCCTTGCAGCTGCATGTGCCGTGTGACTGAGTTCTAACCAATGGTATGAAAGTGCATCTCTTCTAGGCCTGGCCCCTTAAAATCTCTCAGAAAGCAGAGGACTCTGAGCATCTAGAGGAGGGCAGGGTCACAAAATGGAAGAAGCCATGGGTCCCAATGACTTAGTGGCACAGGCCTCCCTCCCAAACCTGCACTAAATTATGATGTAAACAAGAAGGAAACTTTTACTGTTAAGCCACTGAGTTTTGGGAGTTGTTTGTTATAGCGGTTAGCCTACCTTGAATAATATCCTTAATCCCTAAATTCAATAGCTTTTTTCATCCTTTCCTTAACAGCATATGACCCTGGTAACCATTTCTTTCTTCTTGAAGTTCTTCACCAGATACTATTTGTCTCTAATCCTTTTTTTTTTTTTTGAGGAAGATTATCCCTGAGCTAACTACTGCCAATCCTCCTCTTTTTGCTGACGAAGACTGATCCTGAGCAAACATCCATGCCAATCTTCCTCTACTTTATACGTGGGACGCCTACCACAGCATGGCTTGCCAAACAGTGCCATGTCTGCACCTGGGATCCGAACTGGTGAACCCCCCGGGCCGCTGAGAAGCAGGATGTGCGCGCTTAACCGCTGGGACACCGGGCCAGCCCCTCTAATCCTTTAATGATAACGATCATGATAATGATAATAACATAGCTCCCATTCCTGAAGTTCTTACTCTGTGCCAGGTGCCGTGCTGGTGCTTTATCTAGCGTCTCGTTTCATGCTCATAGCTACTCTGTGTGGTAGATGCTATCACTCCCATTTTAGAGAGGAGAAAACAGGTTTAGAGAAGTTGAGTCACTTGTCCAAGGTCTTACAGGCCCTCATTCTCTCTCCACACTGTTCCTTTGGACAATCCTATCTGATATCGCAGCTGCTATCATTATCCTGTCTGTGTGGATGGCTCCCTGACCTCTCTCCTTGTCTCCAGTTCCGTATTTCCTGGCATGTGAACGTGCTGATGGCATCGTAAACTCAACATGTCTAAAACGCAGCTCTTCCCTTGTTAGTACTGTTCTAACCACTTTTCATTTAATTCCCGCAACAACTCTATGAGATAGACAATGTTATTCATATGTATGGGTAGGTAATGTCATCTACATTTTACAGATAAGTAAACTGAGGCTTAGAGATTCAGTATCTAGCTCACATCTGCACAGATAGCACACAGTAGAGCTGGGCTTGGGATTATTTCAAGACCTAGATCTCAATAACGACAATTCCCCAGTTCTACTCAAACTGTGCTCTCCTTTTGCTCTTCCATTTGCTGCTTCCTATACTGATTCTCTGCTCTTAACTTTCAAATCCTACCTGTCTGTCCTTCAAAGGCCATTTCCCCATGAAGTCTTTTCAGGTATTCCACACTGGAAGGGATCTCCACCTCGTGCGAATTTACAGAGTACTTACTATGTACCTCACTTACCTTTTCCTAAACATACAACTTTAATTCATCCTCATCATAATAAGTCCAAGCAGAGAGATAGAGAGCCTGGAGTTTAAATATCCCTTCATTCCCCAGAATTTATCAGTTTCTATCTTGATTAATGTTTCTGTTTCTGCTAGCAACTCTATTAGTTATTTGAGAATAGGAGGCACAGGGAGTCATCTTTAGGCCCCTACAGTAGGCATTAATAAACAAGTACTGAAAGAATCAATCAATTTCAAATCCCTGGAGCCTGCACTACATTTTTAGATGAAGGTGAGAGGGTCTGTTCAAGAAAAGAAGTGATTTTTTTTCCAGGGGGACTGGTAAAGACATGTCAAATACTCCCTCTCCTCCCGCCTTCATTAAAGAACAAGAAAGCGTCTACTTCTAGGTATACGAAGCGTCTGGTTTCTGTTTTTAGCTGGGTCTTAGAAGGAAATGACTTTTCTCTGAAATTGTAGACGCCCAACCCAGCTGCAGCATTGTTAGACCTCAGGGTAAACAGGAAGCTTCCTGCCTTGGGCCCTTCATGTCCTCTCCCAGACTATTAAAGACTCTTAATAGGATGGTAAAAGGACAGCTGCTGGCCATAAAATCAGCCCATTCCTTAGCTCCTTAGAGAAGAGCAACTAGCTCCCCAAGGTCAGAGAGAGAACTGTGTCCATCTCTGGGTTACACTAGTTCTGTCCACTAGCTGGGGTCCTCTGTTACCTCCTCTATGATCGACTGTAACCAGAATAGTCTTTGCAGAATACCAGAGTGATTTAGTTCCTTGGTATTAGGTGAAAAGATGGGATTCCCATTTATAGGGTTTCTGGTCCTTGAAATCACTTGTTTCTGGAGGTGATGAGATCTAGTGTGAAGGTTAAGCTAAGATGGCCAGAGCAGTGAAATCCCCTGTGGAGTCTGAGTCACCTCCTCCAGTAGGGGAACAATCAATCCTGATTATTCCCCAAAAAGAGGCAAAGAGAAGCCATGAGAGCAAAGAACTAGGGCTCCTGCCTCTGCAATAAAGAGCTGAAACAGGACCTCAACTCTTCCTGCACACAAGGTGGAAGTCCCTGGATTTGCAGCTGTTGGTGAGGAGGGAGGGGACAGTTTCTGCCAACTGGAGGGACACTAGGGCAGGGGTGATTATCTTTTGCCAAGAAGGGCACTCGGGTGTCTTGGCAGAAGGCAGAGGGCTGCCCTGATCTGTGTGTACATTTTCAGAAGCATTTGACTCTGGATCAAATTCTCTCAGCTGTGCTAAAGCTGGGACGATGGATGGGAAATGCTTACTGGCCAGACTGACTAGAGGCTCCAACAGAGGGTGCTGGGGCTCAGCCAGGAGCTTCCCTTCAGCTGGCAAGTGTAGCTTTCTGTCATGGTCAGAGGGAGCGTGTCAAAATTCCCATTCTCAGGGCTCTCCAGACGCTGCTTATGATGACCCATCTATTTTGAAGTTTCTGCTTCTTGGAATTTTTGGCTCAAATGGGGAATGAGTGGCAATGATGCAGAACCTCTGACCTGGCTCAAAGAATGAGAAAAAATAGCTGAATGATCTTACTCCCTTTACAGTGATGGGCTCATAACCAAATGGGGGCCAGGAAGATACCATTTCATTCAACACTGGACTTATCTACAATTTATCAATTCATGCTGCCAGGTTGGCTCCTCTGACCCATGTGTACCAATTAAGCAAGCACAGATACCAGGGCACAGCAGGAAACCCAATCCCTGCTGTGACCATTTAGCTGCCCAGCACAGGTTTACTTATGCAGGACAAGGAGCCTTATTTGCCAGGTGTCACTGCTTTCCCTCATTCAAAGGAAAAGTCACTGAAGTTACTCCTCAGAGTTGCACCTGAGGAGGGAGTGAGTTTTCTTCTCAGTGCTGAAAGCAGGGGAACTGGATAGTTTCTCCTAAAATCACGTGTTTGAGCCTCTACATAAGTGTTTAGACTGGGATGATTCTATTGTTTAAGGCAGCTCTTAAGATCTTAGAGCAGGGAAGGACCAACAAGAGATTATATGGTTCACCTCCCCACCTCCCAGTGGAAAAATATCATTTCCCCTAGTTTCAGAAGAGGTAACGAAGGCTCTGAAAACTCTCCTAAGTCACACAGCTGGTAAGCAGGGTTTTACCAAGAGGACTAGAATCCAGGTTTCCTGCCTCCTCCTGCAATGTTCTTCTTATCATGACTTTTTCCACACAAGCAATTTGCATTATTTTTAAAAAGGTAATTCATTGCATGTCCAACCTAAAGTTGTTTAATTTGCATACCTTTGTAAGATTTTTCATATAAACAAATGAACAAATTATGAAAAAAATCTTCAGAAATGTCCCCTTTAGAAACGAGGGTACTTAGTGCTGCTGCCGCACTGCTCAGGCCTCTGCCATTGAGTGTGGACTAGGACCAGCCTGTCAGCTAGAGCCTTTCATGAAATTTCCACTTAAATAATTTACATTTAAATTTACATGTGGGTCAGGGGTAAGTTTAAGACTATTTCTGCTATGCTTGGTTGACAAGACAGCTCCAGGTGTACTTTAGACTTGGAATAAGATTTCTTCACTTACAGAGAAAATAGTTACTACCCTAAAATTTGCCACAGCCAGGACCAGAAAGGGCTCTCTAGTGGCTCACACTTCTCCCATTCCTAACCAAGCTCCAAAGAGAGAAAGAGAGGTTCTAACGGACAGAGTAAGGATACCAGGGCAGCGCAGGCAGTCCCAGTGGGTATTTGCACTTTCAGACCTCTGGTTAAGCCTGGTTCAAGCTGTCCCATGAGACTCCAGGTCATGTCCAAGGCAGGAAGTTGCAGTGTAGGAGTAGTCCCAGGAGCCAATAAGTCAGGAAGTAGCCTAGAATGCATCGTGTGAGTAGAGAACAGGTTTTCCAGTTGCACAAAAGTCCCATAATAGAATTTCTGGGGACCTTTTGTCCTGGTGGGGGGTCCCCTGCATGAGGCTTCCACGGTACAGTCTCTAGGGATCTCAGCAGCGGCTCTTGATCCTGGAGCAAGTGAGCTGGAAACCAGTACACAATAGGAGTGGAAGAGCCCAAAAACCTGGTGAGAACCTGGAAATCATAAGAGGGGGAAAACCCATACATTTATTGGAATGTCACTGCCTCAAACTGGACCAGCCCCAGGCTGGTTGAACTACAGCCCCATGACTAGAAATGTCTTACCCTAGAAAAAAAATTCAGCAGAGCTTAGGATCTGCCTTATAAAGCTGTACGTGAACCCAACCAAGCGACCTCAATGTTACAGGTAAACATAGCTGTGGACTAATTACCACAATAATGGGCCAATCAATACTAAAATCTTTATGGGCCTGGACTCCAAACTCTAGGATGTGACGTGGGGCTTTGGGAACCTGAGGTGGTTCCCTCATCCCACGAGAGTGGCAAAGTAGAGGGAACGGGGGCAGGCGATCCTATGGTTCAACGTGCTCCCTCCTAGGGGAGTTCAGAGCCAAGTCTCCAAATGGCATCCCTCATCTAACCTGGAAACTCTAAGCTTTGCTGGCACTCACACTACTAGCTAATCCAGTTACAAACACAGAATGCCTACTTTCTATTTCCCCTGTGCCTCTAATTCACACATCTCAGAGCACTTAACAAACAGCCAATGTGTGCCTCCAAGAGGCAGAAACTGCTAAGGAGTGGCCAGATGGAGACAAAAAGATTTCCTCGGGGTTATGTTGCAACTGGGGCCACAGCCGGGAACAAAAAAATCGAATGTATGATTAAACCCTTCCTATCCCTCTCTATCCCTACCAGCACCCAGAACATTGCACAAGATATCTCCTCTGAAAATTGAGCACCTGCCAGAGCTCAGAGTACCTCAAAAGTCAATATTCAAAGTAGATATTCTGGGTCTAACTGTATATTAGGAGAAAGTCACAGAGATATCCTCTGTGCCTATTCCTATGTCTCAGTCAAATCAGGTCCTTTCAAAACTCTCATGTCTTTGCACGTGCCCTTCCAGTGGCCCAAAATGTTCTTCTGCTGCTTCTTAAATGGAATTCCTTCTTACTCTTCAGGACCCAGCCTAAATATGACGCCCTCCTCAACTCCTTCAGCCAGTTAGCTACTTTTTCCTCTGTTCTTCCACAACTCCTCTTCCATCCTACTGTACTACAATTTTATCTGTTAAATGTCTGTCTCTGGGGCCAGCCCGGTGGTGCTGCAGTTAAGTTCACACAGTCTGCTTTGGTGGCCTGGGGTTCACCAGTTCGGATCCCAGGTGCAGACCTACGTATCACTTGTCAAGCCATGCTGTGGCAGGCGTCCCATATATAAAGTAGAGGAAAATGGGCACAGCTGTTAGCTCAGGGCCAGTCTTCCTCAGCAAAAAGAGGAGGATTGGTGGCAGATATTAGCTCACAGTTAATCTTCCTCAGAAAAAAAAAAAAAAAAGATTGGCAACAGATGTTAGCTCAGGACCAATCTTAAAAAATAAAATAAAATAAATGTCTCCCCATTTTTACCATGAGATTCACTAGGACAGCAATCTTGTCTTACTCAGTTCTATCCTCAGTGGTCTGACTCATGGTCTGGCACAAAGGAAGCCCCTAAATAGTTGCTGAATGAATAAATTAGGTATAGGTCACTCAGAAGGGAGAAGTTAGCACTCTTCCCTGTCCCTGGCCAAGGGGTTTTGCCTGTATTCACACCGTCATCCCAGGCAGGAATCTACCTCACCTGAACATGCATGCACAGACTGCCAAACAGCAGCAGTGCTGCAGCATGGACCAGGTACACGAACACCCGAGGACTGAGGAATCCAGGATCAGGCTTCTCTAGGGTCTTATTGTTCTTGCTCCTTTGCAACCCAAGTGTAAGGCAGAGCCAAGGGTAAGTTGTCACATATGTCCAAGTAGCCCAGGCAACCAATATAGCCACTGGTGTAGCCAGGAGAAAATTGGGCAGCTGCTTGAGTTCATAGTATCTCAAAAAACCAACATTCCAGTAGATATCCTGGATGTAGCTGTATATTAGGGGAAGACTCCAGGAGCACCAAGGTGGCTCTTTTCCCTCCACAGTCCCCACGGTCCGGTAGCCCTTGTCCACAGCTAACTGCAGCAGGGGCTTAGGGATGGGGTGGGCTGAGCCTGGCAGACAGAACTGGGTATAGGCGTAATACTGAAAGAGGGCAAAGGGAAGGCCAAGTGCAAGCACTGAAAGGAACACAGAGCCCATTAGCTTCAAGAACTGTCTCAGAGGATTCAGTACCATGAGAGAAGAGAAAAAGCCCCGGCACTGAGAATGGACGAGGAAGCCAATGTTGACCAGTCCGTTGGAGCGTACAGCAGTGGCAAGGGCAAAGAGGAGTCCACTAGTGCAGCTTCGGCCCCTTTCCAGCTGTCCCATGGCACTGAATGTGAGGAGGGCAAACAAAGCTTCTGAATAACCAGCCGCCAGGAAGACATTGGCGGGGCTGAGGCAGAAGAGAAGCGCTCCGTAGAAGGCCTGGCGAGGACAGTGCAAAACCAGACAGCCCAGGTCATGCAGTGCGACTGCAGCCAGCACGGAGAACAAGGAATTGAGCAATGCTACTGAGATTAAGAGGCAACTCCGTAGGCTCAGTAACCCCTGCAGAGGTCTCAGCAGTTCAGTCCCCACCAACAGGGCCAGGGGGAAACCAGGGAAGAAAGCAAAGTTGTGCTCATACAAGTAGCCATGTTCAGCAATGAACAGGAAGTGTTCAGCATCCCAGTGCGACAGGCCACCCAGAAGACCTTCCACTAGTTGGTCCACAGAGCCTGAGGGGGTGAGGCGAGGAGGAGAGAAGGCTTCTGCATGGTGATCTGGGATGATGGCATTGAAGAGAGCCTGTGGGATGAAGGAAAACCAGGATTTGGGTTGACCAACTGGAAGAAAAGAATTACCATTTAATAAAACGAGGAAGAACAGACTTGGGGGAGAATCAGGAATTCACTTTTAGACTAGTTAAGCTTGAGTTGGACATTCTAGTGCAGAGGTCAACGAGGTAGTGATACGAGACTGTGGGTCAAGAGAGCGATCAGGGCTGGAGATATAAAGTTGGGAGTCACAAGTGCATGCGCGGTATTTAAAGGCAAGAGACTGAATGAGATCACCTATGGAGGAAGTGCGGGATAGAGAAAAGAAGAGATCTGAGGACTGGGCTTTGGACATGCCAACATTTAGAGGAGACCTGAAAGAGGGTGAGGATCCAGCAATGAAGATAAAGAAGAAACAGTCAGTGAGGTAGGGGGACAACCAGGAGAGTGTGGTATCTTAGAACCAAGTCAAGCAAGGGAGTGATCGACTCTGTTAAAAGCTGCTGATAGGAAAAGTAAGATGGGACTGAAAACTGACCACTGGATTTAGCAATGTGAACGCCACTGGTGACTTTGACAAGAGCTATTTTAGTGGCATGGAGGAGAGAGAAGCCTGCCTAGATCTGGTTCAAGAGAGAAGGGGAGAGGGGAGGCAGTGCATACAGACAACTATTTGGAGGAATTTTGCTATAAAGAGGAGGAGAGAAAAGGGACAGTATGTGAATGAATGACAATGTTGGGTCAAAAGAAATCTTGTGGGTTTTTTTAAGGTGGGAGATAAAAGTTTGTGCCAAGGGGAATAATCCAGTGGAAAGGAAATCATTGAGTATGCAAGAGAGGGAGGGGAGAATTGCTGGAGCAGGCAAGAGAATGGAATCTGCTACCCAGGTGGAGGAGAGCCTTATAGGAGGAGAGACAGTTCGTCCAGCCTTTAGTAGGGAAGGCACAAAGGTGCAGATGGAGGTACGCCGATGGATGCGTAGGAGCATGTGGAAGGTCAGGTCTGATTCTTCTATTTTTCTGAGTTTTCACTCAGGAGAAAAAATTGGGGAAAAGGTGTTAGAGACTTGACCAAAGAGGAAAACATGCAAAATAAGTCATCTATGACCTTTGTTCTCAAAATAGGCTGTGCAGTGGAATCATCCATGAAGTTTCAAAAATACTAATGCCTGGGTCCCTCCAGGCATTATTTAACTGGTATAGGGTACAGCCTGGGTGATGAGATTTTTTTTCCTTTTTTTTTTTTTTTTTTGCTGAGGAAGATTCAGCTTGAACTAAAGTCTGTTGCCAATCTTCCTCTTTTTGTATGTGAGCCGCCACCATAGCATAGCCACTGACAGACAAGTGGTGTAGGTCCATGCCTGGGAACTGAACCTGAGCCATCAAAGCAGAGTGCACTAAACTTAACCACTAGGCAACCAGGGCTGGCCCAGTGAGATTTTTTTTAAGCCCCTCGGGTGATTCTGATGTGCAGGAAAATTTGAGAGAATGGGAGGGTGAATGGGCTACAGGAATACATTAAGATTGCCAGGTAGCACTAAGGACTTACTTGGGTTAGTGATCTTGAATAAAGAGACTAGTTAGTACAGTTGTGTGTTTTTCCCTGGGCAGATGCAGGTGTGGAGTAGGCAGAGATTAAATTTAACCAAGGTTGGGCTTTTGTGTTGTGAATAAAACATAGGAAGAAGGGAGTAAGCGAGTTGTGCGTGTATGCACAGTGGACCAGGGCAACTAAGCTGGGTAAGAAGGGGAGCTGAAGCCATGAGGTGGGTGAGGGGCAGTGAAATGGTGATAGAAAGAATGGATTTTAAGTCCCGAGGGGATGGAAGAATTGTTAGAGCTGGAGTACTAGAGGGAGTGAGCTGGAAAGAAAGGAGATAACGGTCAGATGTATCATCTTTATTAATATTGAAACCACCAAGAAATCAACAGTAGTGCTGGAAAGAACAACAGTGAATCAGGAACTAAAACCGTCAAGGAAGGAGCTGTCATTAACAGAGATGACAGCAACAATGAAGGGTAACTGGGGATATAATCTGATAACATGAGCCTTACAGCTGGAAGGGGTGGGACGATAATGAAATAGTATTATTGTTAAATGTCTTTTTGCCCCATTAGACTGTCAGCTACTTAAGGGAAAAGAGACCATGACTTTCTATACTCATCACCTAGCATAGTTCTCAGAACAAAGCAAGCACTTCATAAAATTTTGGTGCTTGAGCGAACAGTCTAGAGGAAACATACTCGTTTCTGATCACCATCTGAACTAGAACCCAGCTGTCCTGGTTCCCTATCCCAGATGCCAATTCACAGTATTGCTCTGTTGGTTCTGCCAATCATTCAGCTGATACTGGTTTCAAAGCCATCAGTGAGTCAGTTTCCCCGGTCTGACATTAGGAGTACAACCCCATTTTTAACTCTTTCTCTTTTTGGTCAGTTTCTTTATCAGGCCACTTCAAACAGTGAAAACAAATGGGACAGGAGTGACAGTCACAGATAACAGCCCTAGTCTCCAAGTCCAAGACACTTTTAACTAAACCCGGGACTCAGCAGAGTCTGCTGTGCCTCCTATAGCGGGGGAAGAGAGAGGGAAGGTTTCCACAAAGGAACCAACTATGGGCCTCAGAGAGAATGGTACACAAAAGTATGCTAATGTGACATCCCTCGCTCGAGTGTTGACATACATTCAACAATAACACATACTGAGTACCTACTAAGCACTGTGCCAGGCAGCAGATATAATTCATATCTACGTGAAGTTTGATTAAAATATGTATCAAGGGCAGCCTGGGAGGGGGAAGGAAGTTGCAAAAGGGCAAACACATTCTGAGGGTGGTGTGTGGGTGAGGCGGCAAGGGGAGATACCTGGGGGAAGCACAGGAGACACTGCTGACTAAACGAATATACACAGACCGTCTCAGGACTGTGTCACCTCTCTCCCACTCAAAGGCCTGAGACAGTGCTCAGCTCCTGGTAAGGGGATCCAGGGCAATGCTCTGAGCTGTCATACCCTAAAGGAACCTCTGGTTACAGAACCTCATGGTCTGTTAGAAAGACCACTAGCTCAGGAGTTAGGAAACCTGGGGTCTGATTCTGGCCCTTCTCTAACTTGCTACGTGACTTTAGGGAAGCCATTGAATCTTTCTAGGTCTCTGCTGCTTCATGTGGAAAACGAGAGATAAATAGATCCTGTCTAAGATTCCTGCCCACTTTTCACTATAAAGTCTAGGTCTATATGGTTCAAACCACAAGCAGGGGCACACCTGGGAGGTGGAAAGGAGATGGTGACTATTCTTAGGGCCAATGGCATGTTCAGGACAAAAGATCAGAGACTGACCTGCAGCACCAGAGTGAGGACACGGCAGCTGATCGCAAACCTCAGCACCTCTTTCCGGGATGGGTCCAGGGGCCACATCCTCTGACCACCAGGAGTTCAGTGGTGTCACTGCTAGGGCTGAGTTCCCTCAGGTCTCTAAACTTCAAAACGCAAGAAGGAAATGTCACACATGAGCCAAAAGCAAATTCCTGAAAGCATTCTTCACAGGAGACTCCCCTTTCAGCAACACTATGGCAAACTTAACCAACTGCCCAGATGAGGGAAAAGCATTTTGAAGGCAGATGGGACCACTTGGTGTCCCTCCGAAGCACTGTAACCTTGCCGGGGAAGTTCCACACAGACAGGCACAAAACTGGAAAGCCAAGCTCGCAGAAAATCTTTAAAAGCCTGTTGACTGCCCCTACGCAGGAACTAAAGACTTGGGTTCAAGTCCTGGCTCTGAGACTCACAAGTTCTCGTTTAGTCCTTCTGAGCCTCAGTTCTTAATGTATAGAATGGGATCAGGCTATTTTGCCTGTCTCACAAAACTGTCGTGATGGTGAAATGGACTGAAGCGTGAGGAAGTACTACCAAACCTATATTGTGGTTGCTATTATTTGATGTGTGCCCTTTTCCTCTTGCCCAGAATTATAAACTAGGTCCCAAACCAGAGTCCCCAAAGTGGGGTGTAGAAGTGAACTGGAAGACCATAATGACTACACACTCCAGTTTAGCTCTCTGATGTGTGTTCAGCTGGTCTGTTAAATTAAGTGGAGAAGGAAAAGAAAACCACTGCTCAGCAGGACTTCAGCCAGCTCACACTGCTAAAACAAACTTAGGGGGGAGACAGAGTCAACTACTAGAGATGCAGAAAACTGTTATTTCGCACCTCTTTGTTGGAATGGCAACAATGCATAAACAACTGCAAAGCCATTCTGAGGCAAAGAATTCACTTTAAGGTTTTTTCTTTTTTTTTTACAATTCCTTGGGCTAAAAGTAGTAGTAATGGCTCCTAGAGAACCAGTCTGGGAAATAAGAAGGAAGAGCAAGAGCATCAGAGGCAGCTCATCGATGTGGGGTGAGGAACTATCCCTTAAAGGAAAAAATATTTAAAGTGAGAAATTAACAGGGAAGGCTGGAAGACTTTTCTTTCTGCTCTTATCGGGCTAATCTGTACCAAACCTTTAGATATCACTTGTTTCTGGAATTCTTCTCTGACCCCTGCTAGACTGTGTGGTATGCTCTCATTGCACTCGGCCTTGTCGTCTTTATTGCCATTGCTTATTTAAGTTGCTTGTGAACACAGGGACTTAGTCTACCTTGCTCCCAACTATACCCCCAGGGCCCAGCATTACAAACGGGCATTTTAAGCCTGTGTTCTGACTGGGTGGAAGTGGCAAGAACAGGATATAGCCTCACTAGTTCACTGGCTCTGGATATAAAATCACTGCTCCAAGTATTCCTCCCACCATATCTCATGGTAACAACAACACGACAAAGTCACAGAAGCCACAGGAAAATAAAATATCTCCAGACAGGGAGCAAGATTGGCCAAAAGAGCAACAGTACCCTTTCTTGAGCACAAGGGGGCGCGTGCTGCTCACTCCATCAGCAGGAGGCCTGGAGGAAGGGAAGGGCCACCGACGCCACACCGGTTTGCTCATCAAAATTCAGTTCAAAGGCAAGCTTTGGAAAACCCCAGAGAGAGCAGCGGTGGTTAGTGAATCTACCCAACATTTCCAACATCTGACTCGCTCAATCGAGAAGAATCGTAGAAACAGGCACAGCCAACCTCACCCGCTGCTGGTTGTCTATCCTAGGGTGAATTCACTTTTTCCCTTTCTTCACTTCCCACCCACATGCAGAAGAGAAGTTGGGAACAGAAAAGCACTTAACCCACCTCTGCCTCTTCACCAGGCTTCCATTCTTCCTTTCCTCTCTCCAGAGTCAAGCTCTAGCCCCAGCGACCACAGGAGACTGGTAGCCTACAATTAGTTTACAGGTAAACCGAGTAAAGACAAAATAAAGCCAGTGAGTTCTCCCTCTCGGCTAATTGCGGACCTCACTTCCCAACAACCCCTTTGCGAAATCACAGACTCTCTGAGCTGGCAGAACACTTAGAGAGCAACTGGTTTTACACTATTTTCCCGTGAGATAAATATGCCCCAGAGAGGTGAGTAATAAAAATCTCCATAGTTTTTACATGAGAGATCTCTTTAGATCCTGTGAGGCCGGGATAATTACCATCGCCATTTTACGGATGTGGAAACTGAGGCTCACTGGCGTCAAGTGACACACTCAAGGCTTTATTTAAAGAAAACGTCTTTTTTTCTTTTTTGTTTCTGAAACCTCATGATCTTCCCCCCAGCCCTCACCCGGGTCAGAGCCAGGACTATAACCCAGGTCAGCCGGTACTGGTCCAACGACGGGGCATGCTCTTGCTGGGGATGCTTAGGGCAGGGAGGGCCCTATCTGAGGACACAGGAAGCCTGCTGAATGGGAGCCCTGGTCCCTGCGGGTCAGATTAACACCCTCTGTGGGGTGGGGAAGTCGCTCTGACCCAGGGTCCTCAGGGCCAGAGGCCGCATTCTGCGAGCCCAGCCGGGTCCGAAGGCGCTCTAGCCCGCTCCTGCCGGACACAGTCCCAAGCGGGGATCCGGCATCTCCTCCACAGCCCAGGGGCTACCCCGAGGGGCCGGCGAGGCCCGGCCGGGCCCCAAGGCCGGAAGGCAGGGGAGGGCGGGAGGCTGGAAAGGAAGAGGCGGCACCGGGAGGCCGCTATGGCGGAGGGGCGGGGCTCCCCGCTTCTCGGCGGCCTCCGCCTCAGCTCCCTCGGCCTCCGTTTGACAACTCCCTTCCCCCCAGAACTCCAGAGACCCCAGGCAGGCGCCGGGTCCTCAGCGCCGGCCGGGCTCGACCTCCCAGGCGGGGCCCGAACCTCAGCTCCTCCATCCGGGGGCCCCCGAGCGGCCCGCGCCTGCGCACTGGCTCCGCCGGCGGCCGCCCCGCCCCGCTCCTGCCCGGATTCGGAGCCGCCCCGCCCCCTCCGCGGCGGCCATGTTGATTCCAGGCGAGAGGGGCGGGGACCGCGTAGCCACAGGACTCTGCGCCCCTCCGCCTTGGCACCTTCCCGCCCTGGTGACACCTGGAGTTCTCGCTCGCGCTTCCCGCTCCTTAAGCCTCCTCTCCCGCCTCCAGTTAATCTGCCGGGGCTGCCGTCTCAGTGCTCTTGCCCCGGCTCCGTCCCGCCAGCACCCACTGAGTTCCCGAGGGGTGCCGAGGCTTTGGGGGTCGGGGCAGCCCCGCGGCCTCTTCGCAGAAGCCGGGGCCGCGCTTTCCCTGATGTCAGGCAACGACACCTCAGCACAGGGCACACAATGCTTGTTCTCTGAATAGAAAGAAAAGCTTTCTTGGGGTTTCTGTGGCCAGCGGCGGCACCCTGCGTCCTGGGTGTGAAGAAAGTGGGGGATCCCCCTGACTTTCCCCTCCTTCAGCTACCAGGGACCTTGGGTCCTACTTCAGTCCTCAGCCCAGCTCAGGTGGCTGATGAGGATGGTGAAGGCAACTTCAGAGGACGCCCCCCCAAGGACTCCTTTCTCCTTCCTCATTGAAGCAGTTTCTCTCGTAGGAAGTGGGGCCAAAAAAGAAGAAGAAGAAAAAAAAGAAGCTAACTCAACAAAACCGTCTGTTAGGGAGGAGCGGCCAGTTGGTACCCCTGTAACGGAAACTGTTAGAAGAACTTTGCACCCTCCTTAAAGGAAATAGATAATAAATCCTTCTCCGTTGGTGGATTTCTCCTTTCTCAGGATTCCAAAGCCTGCGGTTTCAGTTATCTGCCCTCCAAACGGAGCTGGGGTCTGGGTTAGCCTCTGGCCACAGCCCTGGCCCAGGGAGGGGTTTATCTTCTGCAACAGCTACTAATGTGGGTGGGAACAAAGAAATGGTTGCTATCTCTCCAGGCAAAGAAAACGAGCCCACATCAGTTCTGCGGGGGGCCAAGCACTGTATCTTTCCATTCTTTATAACTCATTTCAGGCCCAGAAAACTGCCCTCAGGTATTTGTTGTGTGCAAGGTGGATAAAGTATAAATCACATTTTGGTCATTGTCCGCTGGAAGAGAAGGGGGAAAAATGGAGTTTAGAAGACTCTTCCCCCTGGTTTTTCAGGGACACATGCTTGTTCTCAGCTCCAGAGGCCTGTGAGTGAATCCAGAGGCAAAGCTGCAGGGCACGCTCGGGACTGGGGCCTAAGGTCGTGGCTTGAAACTCTACAAATCCGTGATGCTCCAAGCAGCCCTCTGTTTGCAAAGACAAAACTGAGAAATGAACTGTCCTTCCTTTGTGAACTCACCAGGGAAGAAGACATGCCTTCTTAAGATTCCCTCTGTCCACACCAAATTCCCTCAAAAAATCTATTTGTCACAAAGGGTCTCTTGTGACAAGTCAGAATGTTTTCCAGAAGTTCAACTGTCACCCTGTAGAGGTAGAACTTTGTCCATATCTTCAGCTCTACTTTCCTGCAATTTCTCCCTCCTTTCCTTCTCTGCTACTCACCGCCCTCCTCTTCCGCTCTGTTTCCTGTTTCATTTTCTGGCTCCTGCTCCGATGGGAAAACAAGGAAGCCGAGAATCTTGGGCTCTCAAAGCCCTGGCTTGTCAGAATGGAAGAAGACTAGGTGGGATGGGAGGGGGTTCTGGGCCTCCAAGGCTGTGAGTAAGGAGTGGAGGAGTCAGCTCTCTCCAGTCTGCTTTTAGAGTCTGTAGCTAAAATGGAGCCTGCATGTACACAGGGAGCCAGCTGAGCGACCAGCGCTGTGGGAGAGCCAGAGATACAGAGCCATATCCCAGGGCTCCAGAAAGACTCTGCACCACCTAGCCACTGCCATTAAGAAGCAAATATCCCACACCACCAAGAAACCATTTCGTAATACAAATCCCTGACCTAAACAATGCAAGCAATGCATCACTGTTTCTAGAATCCTAGATTGTCAGAGTTACAGCATTTCTGTTTCTTGAACTTGCCTGGCTCTGCTTTGCTGTTTCCGTTGCTTGAAACACTTCACTTCTAGACCCCTACATTGGAATCCCAGCTGAAATGTTGCCTCGTCAAAGAGGCTTTCCCTGGCTACCCAGCCACAAACACCACCCTGTACTGTCCATCATCCTGTTCTGTTTCCTTCATAGCGCTTATCACTACCTAACTGTCCTGTCCATGAATTTGACTTGTTTTATTGTCTGTTTTCCTCTTATGGAATGAAAGCTCTTACGAGAGCAGAGGTCTTGTTCACCAGAGTATTATGAGCACTTAAAACAGTGCTTTGCACATTGTGTGTACTCAATAAAGTTCTGGTGAATAAGTCAATTTGTTTAACCTGATACTATATTTTCTGGATGAGGGAACTAAGGCTCAGAAAGGGAAAGTGACTGGCCTGAAGCTACACAGCTAGTGGCAGAGGTGGGACTTGAATTCAGGTCTCCAGCCTCTCTAGTTTTTTCTTCCACTCCACATTTTTTTTGTCTCCCCAAAGCCCCAGTACTTGGCTGTATATGCTAGTTATAAGTCATTCTACTTCTTCTATGTGAGCCACTGTCACAGCATGGCAACTGACAGGTGGTGTGGTTCTGCGACCAGGGAAGTGAACCTGGGCCACTGAAGCAGTGAGCGCAGAACTGTAACCACTAGGCCATGAGGGCTGGCTCCATGCCACACTATTTTAATCTTTCTCAGGTTTACCTCTTTTCCTCTCTTCCTTCTTTCCACATAATCCTACATAGGGTACACCGAGTCTTAGCAGCTCCTGCCTACTCTTTCCTCCTCTAAATTCCTATCTTACCTGTTTCATTTACTCAACAAAATAGTGCCAACTATATGACGAGATGAGGATGCAACACTGAACAAAACACCGTCCTTGTCCTCATGGAGATGATGATAATATTTACCTCCTGGATTTTATAGTGGTTGGCATAAAGTGCTCAATAAAGATGGGCTTGTTCATAACTCCCTGAACAAAAAGGGGAGTGAGTGATTTTCCCACTGGAGAGGAAATTTGGTAGTTCTCATGGAGCACTCTCCTCCCTGGAGCAAACTGACAACTCATTTCTCTCTGTAGTTGCCTTTTCTTGCTCCTGCCACCACATCTGCAGATGGCCTTGGCCCTTGGCTAGGCAGAGGAGCAGCCCAGTGTATCTATTCTCAGTAGTTCAGCTTCCTGATATTAAACTTTCTATGGTCTCAAACTTATGGGAATGATGCAGTAGCTGATACTGATCTGGGATGTTGGCTTTGAGGCCTTGCCAATTTGGGTTAAAAGTGACCACACAGGCCTCTGTCACTGCCAACTGTTAGCAGGCAGGGCTAATGCCCGTGATGACAGTCAGTTGTGCCTTACCAGAACTTTATGCTACTTTTTTGCTGTGAAAAGGGCATTCACTGGCAGTTTCGAAGGATGCTGCGTGATCCTTACATCCATCCTGAAACCTGGGTGGACCCAATCAGGTCTGGGACATTTACCAAAAGCATCCTTTTTGGCCTCTGTCGTATCACTTGAAGATGCCTATTCACCCCAGGACAAAGACCCCACCCTGCCTCCCAGTTGCAAGAGGCAAACACTGATCCTTTAAAGGCCATGGACGCTAGATATTTTTCACCCTTTCTTGGGTATTTGCCTTTCAGTAGTTAGAAAACCTTGACCCTACTTAGAGGCCTAGTGGGAAGCGCCTTAGCCACTTGGGGGTGGCAGTGGCTGCAAGGCAAAAGAGCCAATGAGGTTGAGAGTATTGTTTAGGCCAGACTTGGCTGCTCTCCAGCTATGAAAGAAGGTTAAGGTCATTTAGGGGGTGGGGAGGGAGGAGCCTGGGAAAAGAACTACTGGCCACACCCCTGGGTTCTCTACTGTTGAGGTTCTATTTGCTTCTCAAAAGCAAATTACTCACAGCTCAGTGGCTAGCAGTTCTCTTGGACCTGTGGTAACTCCAGTCAGAAACTGGAGACCAGGCTAGGCTCCCCCTACATTGCAGGAGAGCGGATGAAAGGAACCCAGGAAACCAAACTCCTAGGTAATGCTCCACACAGCCCAGAAATGCATTTTCTAGACTAGAAAGTGCAGTTCAAGAAGCCCGGAGCAAAAAGAGCCATTAGCAATATTGCTCACCAAAATATAGATATGAAAAGCTTCCCATTTAGGTTGTTCAGAAGAGTCCTAGGAAGGCATCTTGGTTAATGGAAGTTTAGCCAATTGTCTTTACCTTCTCTCAACAGAGAAATACTAATTATTCATTCCTATCCTTACCCAAATATTAACAACCACATCTGGTTTGAGGAACACTGATTGACATTCTTGGGACAATTTTACCTCACGCTAAATACAACAAAAACAAATCTTGCCTGCTGAGCTCCACAGCTGGATCATTACTCCTGATTATCCTGCGACCCAGAAAAGAGGCACAGTGAAACGTATTAGGAAGATCACGGGCCTTGGAGTCAGGAGGACCTATGCTTGGTGTGCGAGCTCAAACAAGCCACTTTCCTCAACTGCAAATTGGGAGCCAGAATACTGACCTCACAGGCACATACTGTTGTAGGATTATTTGATGTACTACGTCTGGTACACAAGTAGGTACTCAATAGAAAGCTATTGTTCCATGTGTCACTTCTAAGTGTCCACAATAATACCATTTTCTCTGTTACTGCTTCTGGTTTCTCCATTGTTTCCCTAAGGAAGTATATTAACAGAGAAGCTATATATTCCATCTAACATTAGCCTTTAAAAGTGACTGCATCTGGCCAACGTCTACGATTTCATTCAACAACTACTTATTAAGTGGCTACTGTGAGCCAGGCTGTGCTGTACGACATGGATGTAGCAGTGAACAAAATAATGGCCCCTGCCCTCAGCTGACATTCCAGAGAGACGACAGGTAAGTACAATATATGATAGGCCAGATGGTAACAAGTGCCATCAAGAAAAATAAGGCAGAAAAGGGAAATAAGGCAGGGAAGCAGACTGCTATTTTAAATAAGGTGGCTAGAAAAAGATTCACTGATATATCTGAGCAAAGACCTTAAGGAGATGAGGACTTGAGCCATGCGGTTATCTGGTCAGAGTATTCTGGACAGAGGGCACAGTAAGTGCAAAGGCAGTAAGGTGGAAACAGCCCTGTATCTTGGAGTGAGTGACAGATAAGAGACAATAGGAGATCAGAGGGATAATGGCAAGCTAGACAAGGGCCTCCGAGGTCACTGTAAGTCCATAATCGGGGTTTTCACTTACTCAGAGTGAGAAGCACTCAAGGATTTTGACCTGACTTAGGTTTTAAAGGGAACATTCTGGTTGCTATGTTGAGAACAGGTTTAATCATGCAAAGCAGAAGCAGGGAGGCTAGTGTGGAGGATATTTCAAGAACTCAAGAAAGATATGAAGTGTCTTGAACTACAGTGGTAGTAGCTGGGCTGAGGATTATTTTTTGCAGCGCTAACAGGCTGGATGCGGAAATGAAAGGAGTTGAGGATTTTTTTGCCAAGCAATGGAGTTACCATTTACCGAGAAAACTATGGGAGAGGCAAGTTTCTGGGGAAAGACAGGCATTTCAGACTGGGCATGTTCAAATTAAATTTCCAAGCAGAGTTGTCAAGAAGGCAGCTAAGGGGCTGGCCTGTGGCCAAGTGGTTAAGTTTGAGCGCTCCGCTTTGGCGGCCCAGGGTTTTGCTGGTTCGAATCCTGGGCACGGACATGGCACCACTCATCAGACCATGCTGAGGCGGCGTCCATATGCCACAACCAGAGGCGCTCACAACTAGAATAGACAACTATGTACTGGGGGGCTTTGGGGAGAAGAAGAAGAAAAAAGATTGGCAACAGTTAGCTCAGACACCAATCTTTAAAAAAAAAAAAAAAAAAGGCAGCTAAATGCTTTAATCTGGAATCAGAGGAGAGCGCCAGTCTGGAAAAAATAAATGGTTAAGTTGGAGGCTGCCTCCAGACAAATAGGTGTCTTATTGTTAAAAATTTCTAAGAAAAACAGAGATCTTCCCTTTGCCAATTTATTTCCAAAAGTTTTTTTTTCTAGAGTATTAATTTATTTGGCCATTTAAACCCACTGTATCTCAAGAGGCTAACATGCTTTTTATGCCTAGAACTTCCTCTTACAGGTGAAAGCATCTCAGAACTTCCTTAAATTTAGACTTACGCTGTTGAATGTAAACTGGAACATGGTGCAGAAATGACAAGGTCCAAGACGCCACCATTAAGGGGAGAGCACACCAAGCAAGATTTGCAAAAACAGGACCAGCTCCATATCCTCAAAAGGTCAGCTTTTAAATAGTTTTAAAACAATAAAAAGCCTCACAAACGTCTTACCAAGATTTAATGTACATTTATTCTTAACACGTGGAACATATAGTATAAAGATTTCATACTGAATAAATGATATTCATTAAGCCAAAAAAGGAAAAAAGGAGGAATTTACATCAAGTTTTAGCTACATTGTTTGAAATACAAATATGCAGATTTTATCACTGAAAAAATCTCAATTGTGTTTCTTCATCAGGAACTTCAACTGAACCTAGAACTTTTTCACACCTCGATTAGAAAGAAAACAAAACAAAACAAAAACCCAGAAAAAAATAAACTATAAGTTGATTGGCTGCTGAGACAGCAAGGACTTTTTACAGAGACCTGTACAGCATCGCGCCAAGAGGGGCGATGTCTGGCAAGAGATTAAATAGCTGTGTCTCGCTTTGTGCAGGTCACCAACTTGTTAACTCGTCATACTATAAAGGGGTAGCTGGGAGGGGGACCAAACTGTGGGCATCCGAGGGTATGTGCAATGTACAACGTCATATATATACACACGTGGCAGCGCAGTCGCTGCAGCTAAAGGTTAAAACCAGTTCTAAGAGGTGATCTCAGGGTTATTCATACAATCAAGGAGGAGAGAAAGAGGTCAGGGTGTTGTAGGTTCACACATGATACTTTGGGGGAAAAGCCGTTTTTTTTTTTCTCCTCAACGTTTAACTAAAAACATTTTTAAAAACTACAGCTTGCTGCTGACCCAGCGTTTTCTCTTGTTTCCATGTGAGACATTATTATTACAGTATGTTTACAGTATCAGGTGTACAGTACAGTACATGAAAGGGTCTACACTCTACTGCACAGGCCTCTCCAGTGAACAGCGTCTGTCCACAACTGCGAACTTCTTGGCTCCTGCAAGATTGTGAATGTACAACAATAAACCACACACAGTTCAGCAGTCACCTTTTTTGTCCTTCAGGGTTTTTTTTGTATTTTTTTCCTCTTT